GCGCTTGCACAAACCATCTTTACACTCGGTCTTGGGTTTAGGCAGTCAGTATTACGAAAACGCAAGGAAGAGAATGTGATCTCGGGCATTTCGCCAATTAGGATCCCTTCCCAACTCATCCAGCTGCAGCAAGCTGTACATAGAATTCATGTTGAACCTGCTAACCCCAAACCGTAAACTCCTAAACCCCCTTCATTCGAAACCTTAGAATCAATTTCCCTCACTCAGCTCCCCAAACTCTGACCCTGTAAGCCTGACGCATTAGCCTTTAATGTCTAGGGTTTAGCCTTCCGGGTTCAGGGTTTAGCCTTTGGGGCTTCGGCTTTTAGACTTAAATATCAGCAGAAGGAACTCAAGATGGGAAAGACATGAATTTGTTACCTACGTCTCCACGTTTAGAACTTTACCCAGGGCCTAACCCTGGAGCTTGCATATCGATTGCAGGGGTTCCTCTGGCAGATTGTGCAAAGGCTACTTTGAGACTCATGGCGCTTCTTCGCTTAACTCAACCCAGGAAGCATTCACACAAGACTGGTGACAGCTGCACAAAAAAAAACTCAGATGAGAAATAGCCCTGCTATAGGAGGATCTTACTTGCATCATTCCCTTTCATAAGGACCCTATAACTGGCATATGGCTATAATGGCGTCCTACTTTTAGGGGATGGGGCAACTGCAACCCCTGTATTACAATGTCTGAGAATGCTGTGGAGAAGGCGACGGTCTTCCAAGGAATGAAGCTTCAGAAACCCACAATATCTCTTGCCTACTACAATGATCTAAGTAGTGACCAGTATCATTAGAACAATGCAAGATCAAATGGCGAATCACATGGAGAATATGGAAAATAAGCTGGAAACTAATCTAGGGTGCAGTGTTCAGGGTTTAGGGATGAACGTAAGGGTAGGGCAGGGACATATACATATGTGTATATATATATACATCGCGGTATAGGGGCTTGCAGAGACTCTTGCCGGTAGCCGTGATTTGAATGGTAGGACATTGCCGACAATTTGGATGCTGCCTCCCACCCACTAGCAGTCTCCAATGCTGGCAGTCTCAGGGGCTGCATATGAAGATAAGTCATTCATTACCCAAACGCTAGTGAGGAGTACCTAACCTTTAACAACTTTTAGGCATATCTCGAATCTTCCCCTCGCGCGGAAGCCCTATGCGTATATCCTTCAGTCTATTCTTGAATGCCCTGCCTGAGAAGTCATGGGAGCGCTACAATGCAGACAGCGCAAGGTACAGAAGAAAAAAACGTCAGCCGAAATATCTGAACCTCAGAACACCAAAAATAGAATCCTGAAAAAGTCATGTGTCACCTTACTTGGCAGTATGAAGCTGCCTTCGGAATGGTGCCTACCCGCTAAATCTACGCAAGTCCTGGCACCAAAGTCTCAAACCTCATGTAGGGGCTTGAGCCCCCCAGAACTGGAGAATCAAATGAAAATAAGATGGAAAATGAAAAAACTGGGTGCATATAGCGGTTTATGGGGATTATCAGCCTAGAGAATTACCAATACAAGTTGAGGTCTACTTGAGGTAAGCTATACCATAAGTAAACAAGAAATCTAGGAACATGATCTTGGTAAATATCTAGGCTTCTACATCCTACCTGAAATCCCAAACCCAAAGCCCCAAGCCTAAACCCTAAACCCTAAATCCAAGCTTTTCACCCCAAACCCTACCCTAACTTGAACTTGCAAACAGATCCCAGTGTCGTACTTGGCGCAGTCCAGGGGAGTTTTGCCCAGGGCATTCTTTTCCGCCAGAAGCTCTGGAGCCTGTACCATCTGTATGGCTCAGGGCTGGGCTGTCCTAAAACTATGGTTCAGGGTTAAGGGTTTAGGGCTTAGGGGGGTTTAGGGTTTAGGGGGATTTAGGGGGCGTTTAGGAATTGGGGTTTAGGATGGGAAAGGAGAGGCATAAGCTTCAGAACCTCACTGGCTCCCATATATCTTTGATGCTTCAAGGTATGAAGCGGAACAATAAAGATCCCTCCCTGGGCTTACGTGCGAGAGGAAGTGGATGCTTTGGAGCCTGCAAGGGCTTCTCCAAGGGTTCCAGGAGCTTAACTTAAGTTACTATATTGGGGGAACCCTAATAATTACTACATATACCCATTATGGTAACCTAATTTAAGTTCTCTAAAAGCAACCCGATGGTGTTGGCGTTTAGGAGTGTTGTTCTCTCTGTAGATAGCAGCCGATACTGAAATAGTCGATTTGTGTCTGGTAAAGTCTTTCTGGATTTTTCAATATTAGGAGAAGCGGGTTTTTTATTGGTAGGGGATGGGGATTAACTGCCGAGTTGATAACGACATCCCCACTGCAAGTGTTCAGTGAGGAGACATCTTGGGGGACGGAACGTGGAAGCCTTCCATCTTCATTTGCTTATATTTTGAATCACACCCGGTTTACGGGTTGAAGAGTTGGATTCGGAGAGTTGTGTGCAGGTGCATCGGACTCAATTATGGCTCAAAGGTAGCAGAGAGGCTAGGCATGCAACCGCTGAGAGTAACATCCCAGTTTCAGGGCTCAATGTGGTTCGGGATACTACCCCAATGCTGGAGAAGAAAAGTGACAACAATGTGGAAATTGAAATCGGAACCGGATTCTATAGAACTTCAGAATGTTGAAGGCTACTTTGAGGAAAGCCCAAGTTATAATCAGGTGATATCCTGTAGCCTCTTGTGATGTGCCGGTATAGATAACACTAGTGCTTACACTCTATCATCCTATATACCCTATACCGCAAACCCTAATCCCCTAAGGCTGAAACTTTTAGTTCAGCCACACCACCTGAGCTATAGTCTAAACTCCTTAAAAGGGGGAGAGAGAGAGAGAGAGAGAGAGAGAGAGAAATACATATGTATATATAGGGGACGATTTAGGGGACTATTCTAGGGGTTATTAAGGGGGATGCTAGGAGTTTAGACTATGGCAAACCAGCAAAGCCACTGAGCCTGCTTTGTGAACCTAACCCCTAAACCCAAAAAAGACTAGAACCCTAAACCCTAAACCCCTGAACCCTGAACCCTAAAACCACTGAGCTGGCCTTGTGAACCAGCAGCCGAAGCAATCCCATGGTCTTCTCGACCCCCCAGGACTCGATGTTACCACCTTGCAGGAAGAGGTTTATGGGTTTAGGGTTTAGGGGTGTAGGGTTTAGCGGTTTAGAGTTTTGGGGGTTTAGGGTTTGAGGCTATGAAGCGTAGAAGAAGGTGTTAGGTTTCAGCCTTAAAGTTGAGATTTCTGTACTTCCGGAAGGCGATTTGGTGCTTCAGAAAGTCATCAAAAATCAGAATTGCAAGAAACGAAAGAACTGCCAGTTAAACCCAACTACATCATACTCCCTGTAAGCCCTAGCGTGCCACTATCTCATCTGCTCGCAAAGGGCCTATCCGATGTGGCTACGAGGGGCGTGGCCGTCAGAATTGGTTAGTAGAGAAAGGCGGAATGCATTATAGGGACTATCCTCAGGGATTCTAGAAGAACTGCTGTAGGGATCTATCATACCATACAGAGCACCAGGTAGATTGTCCATACCCAATCCTTCGGAGGGATCCTTGTCACCCTTCATCCACGACATTAAACCCGAAATGTTGGACAACAGAGCCTATACCCTTACATCCTAAAGCCCCCAAAGCTAGATTCCCCTAAGGCCCAGATGCTACATGCCTAGCATTTAGGGAGCCTGAAACCCTAGGTCCTCAAGCTCCTTGACCATTGTAGGGTTACATGGGTATGATAAGGATTACATTGGGATTGTATAGGGATTCTACAGCAACAATCTCAAACCCTAAACCCTAAATCCCGCACACTAAAACATAAATCCCCCACCCCCAAAACCCTAAACCCTAAATCCCTAAACCCTACCTGCCACCAGGTGCATGGCCGTCTGGTTCATGTTAGGAGTCCGGACGCCTAAGTCCGCCCCCGCAGCGATAAGCAGCCGCACTTCGTCCACCTTGCCCCAGCTGGCAGCGGCCAGCAGCCTAGGGTTGAGGGTTTAGCGTTTAAGGTTTCAGGTTTAAGGTTTCAAGTTTAGGGTTTGGGGGGTTAAGGTTTGAGGTGTTGGGTTTAGGTTTTAAGGTTTGAGGTTTAAGGTTCAGGGTTTAGGGTGTAAGGTTTAGAGTTCAAGGTTTAAGGTTTGGGATTTAGGGTGTGCTCCCTTTGATGGGGTTATGGGGTCTATTTAGGGATATCTGGGTTCAAATGGGTTCTAGGGGTTTTAGAGGTGTGTATATACATCTATATATATATATATATCGGTTTAGGGCTCAGGTTGGTTAATAGATACTGGACAGTCAAATGGAAGAACAACCAGAAAAATGGAATGGAAGCTGGGGATTTGTAGGGTATGTCAGGTTCACGGTTTGTTTGCTGGTTGCTAGTAGGGAATGAAGGAATGGAAAAGCGCATCGACACTACTTTTGATGTTGGGCTTAACGTTAGTTTATCGGGGCTACTCTCGGGATCAATTCTTGCATTCCCTCTCACAAAATGATAAGTGTAGGACTTCAGATTGAGAGCTCAGAGGGTCTGGAGCATATGATAGCCCAGTCGTGCGAGATTAGGGCTTAGTGAATGGCACATGCTTGTCTGTAGCTGCTGGCTGCTGAGGGGGGGGGGGGTTAGGAGCTTGTAGTGCTTCATGGGAGACGCGCTCTCAGATAGTGTTTTGTGTCCCCGAGCTTGCAAACTGTCGGAGTCCACGTCTGTGGCGACATTTGAAACAAGACGTTCATTTCGCAACCACCATACATAAACCCAAATAACAGTAAACAGGCTTCTTGCATAGAAATCCCTAGCATGGTTCTAGGAACCCACGGCATGATTCTTCTGATCATTTACGATTGGGGGCTTAGGGCGTAGTATGTCGGTGATTGAAGTTGGCACTGCAGGATGTTCGGCTTAGGGTACGTTTTGGCTTGCTTACTGCCGGCATGCAAACGAATGCACGAGAAAGGTTTCCTTGGGAAAGTCAAGCTGCGGTGTCATCCCGGCTGCAAATCCACTCCCACTTCCTTCAGAAACAGTGTTGGGATCGGCACCGTTTTCCAACATTTTCAGCATGACATCCTGCCCTGGCGCCAGGCCCTCTGTGAAGCAGGACAGCAACCTTTGCTCAGGATGGCGAGGGAGCTTCTTCGTGGCCTCTGCGCGCCTCACATTCGCTTCCGTCTCATGAAGCTTGATCTGCATTTCACGTGTCGAGGTCAAGCCCTTGACGTCGATGCCCTGCCTGAAGAGCTCGTCCTTGATTTCTGTTGGGCTCCTGTGATCAGGCGGCGTCTGACGAACAGCCGGCTTGGAGATAACGGGACCCGTCGCTCGCGGCCGAACAGGCGGCCGGCTGGCAGGCACTGATGTTGGCATTGCGGGCATTGTGGGCATCGTCGGCATGGTCGGCATCGACGGCATGGATGGCATGGAAGGCATAGAGGGGACCGCCCCGGGAGCGAGGCCACCCATGGGAAACTGGTTCACCATGCCGGCGCTTGCTGGCATTGCGGCCATGCCATTCACAGCTGCCAGGAACGATGCCATGGTCGCATCGCTCATGGCGGACATCGCGGGTCCAGACGACAAGCTGGACATGGCACCCCCAAGGGCCTCCGGAAGGCCGTTGGGGTCAGCGGACGACTCCATTTTGGGTCGCTTGGCTGCTGGCGTTCCATCCGCCATCCGCCGAATTGCAGCGGGTAAGTTGTCCATGGCTCTGCAAGGCACGTGGGTGTGTTGGTGTACAAACTTCACGGCCTGTGTGGTTTTGCTTGAGAGCTGCCTGAACAGCAGTCTGCATGCAAAGCGAAGCTGCTCTGTCATGGTTGCGTGGTCTGCATGCGAGCAAAGCAGCTACATCATATCATGAGCAACGAAAGATCAGCCCTCAACAAAGGCACCATCAATGGAAGACTCACAGTGGCGGAAGGGGCCATCCCGCTCCTCTTCATCCCACACGACTCGGTTGAAACTGGGTTGCTGTTAAGGGGCTTACACTAAGTTACTACATTGGGGAAACCCTATTATTTACTATATATATATACCCATTATGGTAGCTTAATTTAGGTTCCTTAACAGCAACCCAGTCTAAACCTGTGCAGCCTTGAAGCATCCCTACTTCTCACGTGAGTAGCGTTTTCTTTCTGGTTGAACCTAGTAAGATATGTTTCTTATATAAAATGCTATACCCCAAAAGGAGGATAGGATCTTACTCTATAATGGGTACCATAGTATCCCCAAATAAAATACTACTCATGTAGTAATTACAGTAACACGAGTAACACTAGTCACCATGTTCTTTTCCATTACTCCTATGTAGCCCCCAATATACTCCCTAGTAGGTTCCATTTTCTTTTCCATTATAAACCCTAAACCCTAAATCCTAAACTATAGTAGGGTAGAACTCCCTCCCCCAGACTCTTCCCAAACTCTTCTATGAAAGCATCCCTATCAGGCCTCGGCGATGGCGACCTGAAGCCTGAGGCCAGAAAGCGGTTTAGGGTTTAGGGTTTAGGGCTCATGCTTCGTTGCAAATTCCGATTGGATCCCGATAGTCAACCCTTTTAGAGCTCTCATAGTAACCCCACTCTCCACACAGCATCAGTAGATCAGGAGCACAGCTCTAGCTAGAACAGGAACCTTTCCTACCGTGACGTCTTTGATTTCTTGTTTGGCAAAGCATCTGTGATGCTGCCAAACGTGGGTGTACCGTCCTCGATATGATCCCATAAACCCGATTGTAAACAGGGATTATGAGGATTCCCCTCATGTGGTATAAGGGCTGCTTGGGCCAAATCTTGAACTTGCGACTGAATCATTTTGAGCTGGGGCCATCGCTGGTGCTCTGCGATTTGAAACCTAAGCACACAGTTTTTGGGTTTTTGATTTGGGATTTAGGGTTCAGAGTTAGGATTTGCGTCTGGGATGCTCAGTTTAGAGTGCGAATTTAGGGAACGAATCTCCAGTTCTAGGCCCCTATGCCTAGAGAACCCAAAACAATCCCTAAAGCCCTCTCCCCCCTTAACCCTAAACACTAAACTGCCTTTTAGGAAAAAGTCTCAAATTTCAGGCAGCTTCAGCAAAAAAAACTTCTCTCAGAGTGTAAGGGTCTAAATAAGGATTAGGGTTTAGGGTTTGGAGCTTAGGATTGGGGGATTTAGGGTTTAGGGTTTGGGGTTTGAGGATTTCAGGCTTAGGGTAGTTTAGGGTTTAAGGTTGGGGGATTTAGGGTTTAGGGTTCAGGGAAAAATTATCCAGGCAGGCCTAGGCGCATGTTGTCGGCACTGGTCCAGACCGATAGCAGACGCTCACGGATCGCCCCTGCCGAGTGATTTAGGCTTCGGGCTCTTGCTAGCCAGGAATAATTAAAGGAATCAATCCTTACAGCTAATCTCCATATAATTCCTACAAATATACTAGTTGCCAGGAATAAAGGAAGCAATCCTCAAAGCTAATCTCCATATAATTCTACAAATATACTAGTTGCCCTAAACCCTAAACCCTAAATCCTAAACCCGAAACCTTAGCCACTTTCTTTTCCGTTCCTGTCATTCCCTGCTATCCAAAGGTAAATTAAACACCCTGCACACCCGAGTTGCCATTTCATGTTCCATGTCTTCTTCATTTGATTTTCCGTTATTGGGGTCAAATCCCTATATATTCCGTATTATATCCTCGCATAACCCCGTACTAGATAATCCCTTTTGAATCCCCCTAAGCTCTATACCCTAAACCCAACAACAAGGAATAAGAAACGGAGCCCGGTGCTTAATGACACCTACAGTTGTCCCCTATATAAACCTCTAAACAATCCCCTTCACGGAGTTAGACCCTAAACCCTAAACCCCAATCCCTAAACCCTAATCCCTAAACCCTAAAGCCCTCAACCCCTAAACCCTTAAACCCTAAAGCCCTAAACCCTCAAACCCTATCTACAATCCCGCATAAAGGAGTAGGAGGCCCAAGCCCCGGTGCCTTGCATGCGGGAGAGGCTCAGGGTTTGGGCCGCGGAGCTCAGGGTCCTCGCTAAGAGGAGCCGAGCGCGGGCTAGGCCTAGGCTTTGGAGGAGGAAAAGGCTTGGGGAGTTTAGGGTTTTGGGTTGTTTAGGATTTAAGGTGTAGGGTTTAGGGTTTAGGGTTGTTTAGGGTTTAAGGAGTTAAGGGTTTAGGGTTGTTTAGGGTAGCTAGGGTTTGGGGAGTTCAGGGTATAGGGTTTTAGTGCAGGAAAAGATGGCACTATATTGGCAATGGTTAGTGAAAGGGGGGGTGATTTTTGGGAAGGAGGAAGGCGAGGGGTTGGCAGCTTCGTGTTTAGGCTGTGGAGTTGGGGATGTTGCTATGGCTGCATCTCCTGGGTATATAGTTGGTTATTGGCATATTCTTGTTTATACTGTTTTGAACTCTATGTTGACCATGTGCTTCTGAATGATCCATGTTCACCAGTTCACGAGTTGAGACATGGTGTCTTCTTGAAACCGGCAGGTATGATGGCTCTGAGAAATATGCGCCAAGGCATCATTGAGACTGCCCAAAGAATTAAGACCCTCAAGGCCTGCAAGAAGCCCTCCAAACTGAGCGTCACAACTCCGATGCGTGCTGCCAAGAATTGATTGCTACAAGTAATGTCTTCAAGAATCCCCAAAGTCCCAAAGGTAACCGGGCCCCTTTGGGGTTCCATGTGTCTGGGGGAATATAGAGAAGCCCTGCAAGTGAGAAGCTAAGAACTACAATTCAAGCCTTCTGATCATCCGAGATTTGGAATTTGGAAACGACCTGCTCAATTTTCCACCTTAAAATCAACCCGCTGCGCCTTGGATAACAATATCCGCAGAATTGCAGGAATGTATGTTTTAAGGGGCGGGGAGGGCTTCTCGTCAGGAGAGAATATTAGATTAATTGCTGGCTCCGCAACCCATATTCCACACCCCACATACTTGCCATGAACTCCAGAAGAGCACCTCTCACAGCCCAAGGAAGCTACATGCATCCCCGCTATACTCTGCAATCGCTGCTCCAAATTTTAGCATAGTTGCCCCAAACTGGAGCGAGCGTCTGGCATCCTGGCACACAAGGACAAGCTTCAGAGCATTGGACGTCTGGAGATAGCATGATGCTGGTTCGCAAACTTATACTGCAATGATGGGTGTTTTGACTTTTAGGAACTATGAAAAAGGGCGGCCGCATTGAGAACCACCTGTTTGAGACCAGGCCAACGCATCCAACATTAGAGAGGCGTACACCCTACCATTGCTCTTGCATCCCAACCCTGGAACTCAAAATCCTTACCCGTAAACCCCAAACCGAAACCTGAAACCCTAAACCCCAAACCAGAAACCTGAACCCCAAACCCTAAACCCCAAGCCCCTAAATCTTGTAACCCCAAGTCACCAAGGCTGTGGTCTTCATCGCCAGAGTGAAGAGCTTGGGATGCGCAGTGGACAGCCTTCAACTGGGTATGTTAAGATGTCTTGGGGGTTCGGCTTGGGGTTTCGATCTTGAGGCTTTTTGCCATGTTTGAATCTCAAATGTTTGAATCTCAAGCAGTGGGCTTTGTGGTTCGAAAATCCTGACCACGGCAAGTTGCTCCTCCCGTGCCCTGAGATGAGCTTTGTGCCTCAGCATAGTGATCACGTGATGCGTGTTGATCCTTGGTCCCTGGTAACCTCAACCATTTTTTCGAGATAGCTTGTTTCAAGCAAGCCCGTTGGAGGAAGCTGAATGGTTATATTTGCCAAACGACGACACCTCAAAATTTATCTCTACGTCTATACATGTACACATACTTCATACCATGCGTCGAAGGTATCCAATCCGGATCAAATTGAATTGTGTCTACGGCCCTGGACTTGTCTGCTCCCTATACGAGACGAGCTATGCGTCTAAAGCTTGACATTGTTTGACGGCTTGCTTGGGAATGTTCACTAATTTCCAACCCTCCTACATCTTGAGCTTCATATACGCAACCATATACTTTATACCCATGAATCATCATTTGACACATACTCTAGACTATGATCTCGGCGTTGTTCATCCTTGTTCATCCTTCGTATTGTCTCCTGCTGCTTAACCCAAATATCGCTGATGTCCTACAATGGGTACGCTCTTCTCTTGGCAAACTCCATTGACGCCAAGAGATCTTGGAAAGCCATATGCAGTGAAGAGATGGTAGGATGGGACTTCAAAAAGACAGGACAAACCGTGGGTGCCCCGCGAAAGGCCCAAACTCCATCCTTGTTTGGGTGAAGGCCCTTCCAATATCGTATTTGCGTAGATATATGCTCAAACTTCGACATTCCCGAACCCCGTCCTCCGCGAAAGAGAGACATGCAACACTCAACACGCACCATTCCAAAGTGGCACAATATTTGTAATGTTCGTTTTTGGCCGGGAAAAAGGAATCTGCATTCTTCGTGGACCTACACCGTACACTTTCTGTATCAGCGGACGAGGATTCTCCGACTCTCCAGCTTGCCAAAACCACGCCTCTTCGAGCTCAGCCAAGGCCCGCGGGCGCGAAGCTACCTGTGTTTCATGCGTAGGGTTTCAAGTCCAAAGGCTTAGGGCTTACGGATGTTTCACGTCCTTTGACAAGTTACCTTATGATTTTTGATGATTTTTGTATGTCTTCACGTATGCCCCTGCACAAGAACAAAACCTTCATAGCTTCACTGATAAGTTAAGGCT